CCGCTGGATCCCCGGTCGCAGTCGTGTCGCGATAGCTCGCATCCGGCAACGCGTCGTATGCGCGCGCACGCCGCGGCCGCTTGATCGACGACAGACGGATTCGAACCAGCGACTTCTGCATCGGCAGACACGTCAGCAATCGGTGCGGCAGACACAGCGGCTCTGACAGTGGCAGCCACTCGTTTGCCCCCGCCACCGGAATGTCCTGGAGGCTGCCGAATGTCTTGGACGATTGGCCTTCTCGACTCATAGGCACAGACAGCGACTGAGTCGACGGAAAAGCGGGTTCCATCTCCGAAGACGCCGTTCTCAAAGAAGATCCCGTAATCTGCGAGCCAGACACCGGAGCCGGGGCCGGGGTCCCAGAGACCCGGGCTCCGTAGGTCTGGGTTCCAGAGGCCTGGGCGTCAGCAACTTGGGAGCCAGTGTCCTGAACCTCATTGGTATGGGCGCCATTGATCTGAGAGCCAGTCGTTTGCGAGCCCGCGGCTTGCGAGCCGCTGTTCTGGGATGAGACAAGCGCTGATTCGGTGTTCTGGGAGGAGGCGAGCCGGGCCGCGCGAGACCCGAAAGGAATGCCTGAGACTAGGGCTGTGCCCGAGACAGGGGCGACGCCGCTTCCCGAGCTCGACGTGCCCGAGTGCAGGGCGAGAGGCGGCGGAGCGGCGCTGTTGTTGCCGCCGCTCCTGGGACTACCGCCGCTCCGGGGGCTGTCGTTTTTGCGGCAGGCGGGCCGCACGTCCTCCGTAGTGCCTTCGGCAGGGCGCAAGACGGCGGCCATTTGTAGTTCGAAGGGTCTGGCAGAGAGCGGGGCACAGCGGGAGGAAGTGCTGTCGTCGTCGCTGGGTGGTGCGTCGCTGGGGCTAGAGCTGGAGCTACCCCGGTGGTCGGGGTCGGCGCCAGGATGGAGCCCCAGTTCGAAGCAGGAGGAGTCGTCGTCGGCGCGGGGCGAGTGAAGGAGGCCGCGCGAGGAGACGAGGACGGGGGGTGCGCTGTGGCTGGGGGCTGAGTCGTGGCGGCCGCCGCGGAGTTCGTGGATCCAGCGGACGTGGGACTCGGAAGAGAGGTGGTTGAGCGCGAAAGATCGTACGTCGAAGCACTCGAGACAGCGTAGGTCGGCGCCGAGGTCGAGGCCGGTGGCGTCTATGGCGGCGGAGGCGCGTAGATCTTCGAAGATGGCGATGAATGCCGGGTTTGCGTCCATCATGAGAGTGCAGCGGACGGGGATGTCTGCGGCAAAGTGTAGCCAGGCCTGTCGCCTCGCCTTGAGTACGACACCCTCACGCGTTACCCAGGGGTGTGCCGAACGGTTTTTGGCGTTCCACTCTTCGCGCGAGCAAAGCAGTTGGTTCGCCAAGGCGCCGTTCGCCAACTTCTCTTCGTCCCCCGCGCCTAGGACGTCTTCCGCGCTGGCTGTCGAGGACGAGCTCTCCACAATCTGCGGCCCGCGTGGCGGCCGCACGGGCGGCGCCGCCATCACCGGCACACCGGTGGCCTGTCCGCCTACGGGCGGGGAAGGCGCGGGCGGTTTCGGCACCGCGGTCATGCGTTCCCGGATGCCCGCCAGCGGGTCGGGAAAGACGAACTGGTCAAGCGCGGCACAATATTGTTCCATTTTCCGTTTGAAAGGGCGCGTTTTGAGAAACTCATGGAAGACCAGCAGCGCCGTGAAGGTCGACTTCTCCCAGTTAAGCGAGACCCCACGGTTCAGCTGCAAGTCAACACTCACATCTGCATACTCGGCTAGCAAACCGAATTGGTCCAACACCAAGTCCGGAATGCGCGGCTCGTACGCACTGAGACGCAGCTCCAAAAAATTCGGCGCGGACAACTTCTGCTCGTAATACTCCAGTAACTCCGCACTGGTCACCGGCGCACCCCGACGACTTTCCAGCGCACGTCGTCGCAAGCCAATTGAATAAACGTTGCTGCAGAGGTCGAAGCCGCCATTGGTCTGACACGGACAGGTTTCGGGCCTAGGTTGTTTTGTATGTAGCCTGTCGAACGCCACGTCCGAGTGTGTGGGACTAGACGCACGACTCCAACGTCGCTCAGCCGCCGAAGGTTGTGGGACCTTTGCCCACCACGGCGCCGTGGGTCGCAACGTGCTTAAGACCAGCAGCCAGCCGCGCCGTGACCAACTGCGTAATGCCATGTCGCTCACCACTACCTTGCCTTGGAACATACAGGTTGCGCGACACCCAGAGCCACTAACACAAATCCGTTCAAAGAGCAACTGGAGACTGCGGCGACTCCTTTGCGAAAACAATAACGGACTCGGCGTCTGCGCCGAAAGCGGTGTGCACAGATGCTCCAACTGGATGCAACATCGGTTTAGACTCATGTTCACTATCAGGCAATCCGCGCAACTGTGTGCCGGTCGCTCCGGCTCCATGTTCAGCGTCTCCTGAGTTTCCCCCGTCCATCGACCAAAACGAGTTAAGATATATTTGAGAAGTTTCCAATAGGGTGGACACACACGACCCACAGTCGCCCTTTGGATGATGCGATGGTCGCCGTCGTTCCGACTCGCGTCCAGATCGGGAGCAGTGGGTATGGGACCAGAGTAGGAAGCAGTGGGGATGGAAGCAGAGTAGTCTATGTCAGTATCCTGGGCGTCTTTCCGGTCCATCCAATCAATAACGGAGGTAAGTAGCCCGTACTCAATGCAAATGAATACATCATCATCAGCCTTGGGGAAGGACAGGTCCAGGTATTGGTCAGTTTTGATTAGCTGCATGGCGAATGACAGAATGGGCTGAGTAAGAACGGAGGGATTGGCGGTTGATCGCGCGTGCAGGGGTTCTCTGGCAACTTCTTTTTCTATTGCGAAGTAAGACGTAGATGTAAATATGCCCTCAATAGGAACTCGGCGCTCTTTCGGCAATGGGGATGAACATTTACATTCAAAGTAGATCTGTGATGTAGGTATGTGGTGATTTAATCGCGCATCTAACAATTGGAATAAAATGATAGCATGACGCCCCGGACGCAAATATGCCTCGTTACCCATAGTGACAATCAGTGCCTTCTCATCTCCTAAGGCTAATCCAATACCTTTCAAGCGAATATCCCACATCATTTCCAATGGAATACTTCTCTTCTTCAATCGTCTACGACGCCGGATCAATTTATGCAATGGATGAGGCTTTATCATCGGTAGGTTATTATATCCAGACATACTTATCAAATGAACTAAGTTAGGTACACAAATAAACCCTGATATCTGACTGGTAATTGCGACGTCACATGACATGTCTACCTTCAAGCTACCAACTATTTTGGGAACATTGATTAAAGCATAAGCCGGTCTCATAAGTCCAGATACTAGAATCGTACTATGATTAACAACAAGCATTATGTTCTCGCCTTTCGCTGATATACGTGTTCCACGAAAGGCAAAGGTTGTCCGACACTGAGGAGTCTGAGTTGGGTCACATATAATAAACTTAATTTCCGGGATAGAAACGTCAATGATAGCAGCTGCAGATTTGGTTCCAGTGTCATAGTATTGGACACATTCGTAGAACAAATTGTCACTATCAATTGGTGATATTTCTACCGGATCATGGAATTTATCGTGTTCGATAAATCGCACACTCTTGGTTAATTGAATAAGATGACGGGCGATGATTGGTTCATAAGGGTAAGGGAACCGTAGGAACTGGTTAAATGACTTATCTTTGACCATATCTGATTCGAATTTAGCCAGGAATGCGTCCAGTAATCGACTAGCGATCCAGACTTGATTTTGACCAACAGTATTTCTTGACCATTTTTGTATCGTCCTGATTGCTGTTCTGGAAGCGCACCATTTTTTCAGGTAGTTTGAAAACCATTCGGGAGGTTCAGTAATAGGGAAGTTTTCAAGCTTCCATGCGGAAAGCCTACTGTCTTTTGCAACGTCATTGATTAATCTGGTTATCCTTGACCACTTTTGATCAGCTAGATCTCCTTCGTGACAGCCCCGGCGAAGATTTAATTCAAGATCAAGTCGCCATTGTGAGAGCTCATTGAGTATTTGTATGACCGATCGGACGATGGAAGGTTGAGCAATAAGGTGTATCTTGTCGATGGTGAGTTCATTCTGATTTTCTAAGAGCCCATGATCGGTTTGGTTGATGATGAGATTGTCATGCATCTTCGAGACGGCAAGACACTGTTGGTCTCCAACTTGGGCGCTTACCCCTTGACAGGAGAAGTTACAATCATAGTATTTTTGGTTTGGATGTTTAGAAACATCTACACGCATTGATCCAACAGTAAGGCAAGTAGACTCAAACTTAATTTGGGTTCCGGTAATAGTGAAAGTAAAGAATCTAGACAGCCATAAAAGAACGCTCAGCAGTAAATGGGATTGGAACCGCCGACCTTTGCCTATCCATCTATTCAAACATACGTTCCTCCCTTCAGCCCACATACGCTGAGTATCTCGGATACCCGTTAACCGACGGCAAGTTGCAAGTTCTCGAAATAGCTGTGTCTTCTCAAAATCATCCCCAATAACAGAACAAGCAACAACAAGCTTCGGCTTATCCAAATTCAGTCCTATCTTACCTTCACTGTAATTGTAACTCAATGACACCCCTGCCACACTGCACTCCCTTATCCCCAAAGGAGCTAGAGCTGCCTTCAATCGCACATGATAACCACTCCCATCTCGCAACGATGGAAATGACAAGTCAGACCACCATCCCCATAAATTCAAGTCCCATTCCAACCATCGTGTGTGCACACGAAATAACTTTCGCATCAATCCCTTCCAATCTTTTGAACACCGTCACCCAATCTTTTAGAACTCCCCTCCACTTCCACATCCCCTTCCCCTTCCCCTTCCCCTT